CATTCCAGCTGGAAACAATAGATCTAATAATTTATATAATAGAATGCCCTTGAGTGACATATGCTGCAGTAGTGTCAGATTGTCTCACTTTTAAGAGCTTGGATATATTTCAATTGATTCCACCCAATTTTGTACTTGCTTTTGGCCCATGAGATATTTGGAATCGCTTAATCTGGCCCGTGACTTGGCCACTCCTGCCCATGCCTGCCTTTGGTACTTCTTCTTGGCAACAACTTGAAATTCACATAGGACCAACATTCCTTTGTTTGTCAAACATTATGGCCATGGCAAAAAGAATAAAACATAGGAATAGGTGCTCCTAACGCAAGTTTGATAAGAAGTATATATAAAGATATCCTCATAACAGGAAATGGGGGGGAAATGTATTCAATAGTTATAAATGGCCTTCAGTCTAAAAACAACAGGAAAAAGCATAGGGATCATTACAAATTATGTACTTGTTACAGATTTTTCAAACACAATTTGTATCACTGACATTTTCTGTCATGTCGGGGGCTGTAAAAAAGGCAGTTTTAAATTCCTTTCGCACAGTTTACAGTTGCATGCAACAACATAATTCGACAAAATACTTCATTGTAGATGCACAAAATCAAGGGGATGAAAAGATTAGAAAAAAATGTTAATGAAATGGCTGTCCCAGTGTAAGTTATTCAGTCAAAAGGTCACAGGGTGCGTATATAGGGTCACAGAGGAAGCTCCACACTTACTCCTTGGCAAACTGAGCCATCTGCCAAATAAGAGGACCTGAACTGCAAAGGGCAATAAGGAGCACAATGGAAGGTTAATAAAGCTCAAAAACAATAAACAACCAGGCAAGTTAGAGTGTGTCTACTGCCGGCAGCTCAAAGCCGAGATCACCGTCTTCATGTCTATTTAATTTTTATCTATTTCTTTTAACAGCCCTCTCACGTAATGAGAGATAACAATATGGCTGTTACAGGTGGGGAAGGACAGCTGGCATCTGCAGTTCTGAATGTGGGTGTCAAAGACGGAATTGAATATCGGCATGGCTTCGGTGGACAACTCAAACAAACCTGGAACTAAAGGCCAGACAAAATCTAAGGGAAACATCTAATCCTAGACTCTGAAGCACATGAATACGCTACAAAGACTCACATCCATTCATTTAATAAAAACTTTTAAAAATGATGAATTTCTAAAATAGTAATACAATAAAATTCTATACTAACAGCTGAAGGGGGGAAGAAAAACATCTGTAAGATAGTGCTTTCAAAAATTTACTTTGGAAAGGCAAAGTAAACAGTAAGCTTGCTGAAAACACAGCTTCAAAAGTTTTTTTCTTGTACAATTATGACTGCGAATACAGGCTTACAGACATCTTGACAAGGCATGGCATTCTCAAAAGCCGAAAGAAATATTCATCTTACAAAATGCATAATAATGCATCTTCAAAAATACAAAGAAAACCAACTATCACGGTGCAGTATCATAGAATGCTGGAGCAGATTTTTATACTCTTTCATTCAAAACACACTTTCTATTGACGTCACATTCAAAATGACATTTCCATCACGCCTTTGTTCGAGGACACATTTGGAAAAAGTAAAAAAATCGTTTCCTGAAAAGTTAATACTAATTATTTTCTAAAGCAGCCAGACTCTTTCCATAAACATCATGATGGGCACAAATCACAAGAGAGGGCGTGAAGAGAATGGGGGGTGGGGGGGGGAGGAGTATTGAAGTGACCAGAGCTCAGGCTGGTTATTATGAAAGACATATTAAAATGAAAAAAGCAATTCAGAAAACAAATTTGATAAAAACAAGAGATTCCAATGCAAGCAGGGCTGCATCAGCGACACCCGCACGTCTGGGGAACCCACAACATTCCTCAGTATTAGTGCGGCTGGGAGGACACACAGATCCCTGTGAAAAAAAACCTCTATGAGAAGGAAACTGAACTTAACTAAGGCGGCTGAAGCAAAGAACTCTTATGCACTGCCAATTTGTGTCCTCTATATGTAAATAAAGAAGCCCGACTGAAATAAAACATAGCAAATGAGAAATTTACAGATACAGAAAGACCGTACTGGGCCAAAATGAAAAAGTGGCAAAAACCTTTTTAGAGAGCTGTGTTAGGTCCTAAAAAAAGCTATTTAGTTAATGTGAGTTACTAATTTTGCTTGGATGACCAGTAGAGCTGATACCTGTTTTGCCTAAAACAGCCAACTCTATCGTGCCTTGAATCAGACTTCCTATGGAGAAACAACGTGGGCAATGGAATCTACAGTTGCCATGAAAATGTGCTTATGGATCAGAAAAGTAAGTAGGAAGAACAAACTACACCAGAACATCTGCCCTGTCATATACTATGGGCTGGAAAATAAGAAGTTGAGTTGAATCCAGTCAGTCCTCATCACTGTCAATGCAGTAGGTCACCTGTTCATTACCTGTTCCCTTATCCTCTCTCAGCTGCAAAAACTTTTCTCTTACAAGCAGACCAGGCCTTCTTTGATTGCTTTGTCAGCCACTGCATTAACAACATCCCGAAACAATATTCGCAAACAATAAATCGACCACTGTATATAAACTAGTCAAAGGATCAGCTCTTCATCATGTGTGTTCAGTTTAACCTTAAAATTTGATAAATTCTGAACATTCCAGTGCATCTAAACCAGTTACTAGCCTAACATCTTCCCAATTCCCATTGTCTTTCTAATGCAGACACTGACATTGACAGGTGTACAATAGTCTTGTCTAAAAACTTAGATAAGCATGCGAAGAAAAGTGTAAAGAACACCAAGAAAACACCCCTACAAAAATTGTTGCCGATATACAAAAAAAAAGAAAAAAAAAAAAGAAATGAACAACGGTTAGTCACTTCTTTTCAGTCTTTCTAGACATTTTAAACAACAGTAAGCTTAATATTCAGAGTCCACAGAGCCCTTTCTAGAGAAAATCTCCATTAAAAAGACTAATTGTAGAGGATGATATAGGATTAATCAGCATCCAAGCTGTTTCTCACGTCACATCATATTTAAAATAATTCTAAGTTATAGTTTAAGGTAGCTTTTAACAAGAAAAGGAAGAAGTCAAACTTTCATTTTCCTTAAATGCATTCAACTGTCTGTTCAACCACAAGAACAATTACTAACTGAGCTCTCTCTTAGACACAGAACATTCATTCATCTTTGTCTTATGGAAAAGACTGCAGTTACAGTGTCAATGTCCACAATTTCAAGTAGTTATCACAGAACAGGAAGTACCTCAGATTGATTGAACTTGAGCAGGACAAAATAACCATGAAACAAAATTTCGTAATTAGAAAGGGAAACCCAAAAGAATAAGACTCATTGCCTGTTTAGATATAATGGCTCCCAATGTCTATATTTTGAAAAGAAAACAAGATAATAAAACCAATTGATCCCTTGAGAAAATATAGTGACATGAAAATGAATTTGCATAATTTCTGTACCCAAAAGAATATAACTACCAGGCGTTGAAAACAGGTTCAATTAGGCACAAAAATGAAAAAGTTGCCAAGTGTTGAACATATTCAATAGACTGACAGAAAAAGAAGAATTTCGAAAGACATCAAATACTATTATCAGAGTCAAAAAGCTATACATCTTTCATACTAATTTAAAAGTAAGAACTTTCAGTACGAAGGTAAACAACTATAATACAAATAAGAAAACAACAATCAGCTACTGAAAGCATTTAAATTGCAGACAGAAAACAGAGATAAAAGTCTAAAGGCACTGACTACAACAAAGCTGTCAGTCTTGGTGCATCTTTTTTTATGAGGAAGTCATCAGAGTCAGGATAACATCCTCAACTGTGGCAATTAAAAACAACCCCTGAAGTTTCTCACTTTTTTGTGTGTCCATAACAGCAGTAACTACAGCATCAGCTGGTTCAGAGAGTAAGACATCAAATCTCTGTCAGACATGATGAGGGACTGACACCAGCATCACCCCTAAACTTAGCAGAACTTCCTAAACCAAGCTGCTCTAGACACAATACAATCCAAGCCACTCTTCCAATATTCATGAATAACATCTGAACTTTTAGTAAACTGTAACTCTTCTTCATCTTCTGGACAAATTGACAGGGCACTTTAATAAGTAAAAAAAGACTACTGTCAAAGTGTTCACAGGCAACCTACAAGAGGGAAGGGGAAGCATGGCCAGGCAGGAAACTCTCTAAACCATGAGGAGATCATTATGCTGTTTGTCTAACCAGACTGCACCAAGGCTTATGCAGGACTTTCAGTTCTTCTGCAAATCACAATAAGTAAGTGTCCACAGTCTGGACACAGACACAACAAATTTAGTCTGGCATGTCACTACAGCAAAGGGGAAGAAAACTGAGGGGTTATTGTATTACTCATCACAGGTGCACATGACAGAAACACAGGTACAGAATTAAACAACATTCAAAAAGGTGTAGCTAGGGACAAAAGATATCCAGCCTACAGAGATAAATTTCAACTATACGGGATGCAAGTTTTAAATTTTTAAAAAGATTACATACACCGACTGCTGAATACGTAAGAAACATGAGAAGTAATAATATATAGATAGGAATATTTATAAAAAGAAACACGGTCTATGCATGTGAGTGTTCTCTCACACAGGCTCGAGTACACATGCTTGCTTACTTTCTTCTACTTTGGGGTTTCCTTTTCTCTCTGATGAAAAAATTCATGAGGCTTATGTCAGTGAGACAATATGTCACTGAAATCAATTTCAGAGGCAAAAAAAGGTTCCACCTCATTACAAATTACTGAGGAAAAAAAACTGATGCTCAGAAAAAAAATTCAACATAGGAGGCGTCAAAAAAACAGCTCATTCACAAACAGAAAAACTCAATTGAAAAAAATCTTCAAAAAATCTGTCAAAAACTCGGTGATGCAACATGGGCCAAAGGGCAAGACAAGGTATTTGAAGGCAAAATAAAACCCCTTCCGGGGAAATAAAGACAAATAATTTTTAAAAAGCAAACCATGGAGCACTTACAGATGGCTCATTATTGGGGACATGAGGCTTGTGGCTAGTCGGTGACTTGAAACGGAGAAATAAAAGCAACAATTACTGGAGAGCATTTAGAAGAAAATGTACCCAAAATCGTAACTTGAAAGAAAAAAACCCAAAAAAAAACCATCAGCATTGTACATAGCGTTCCAATTCCAGACCTTTGGGCGGGTGGGGGTCTATTCAGAATACAGAGGAAAACCTCTGTTCTCACTACAAAGCAACTAAGTCATAAATGCTAAAAAGAAATCAACCTGAAAACCTGTACCATTACAAAGCAAGACATGAAGAGGACAAATGGGTTAGGGAAATGCCTCAAGGACATTACAGGACACATGTGTCTGCACTCAGCATGCAGAAATAAACTGGAGTGTTCTTTTCAAAGGAAAAAAAACCAAAACAACTTAGAACAAAACAGGGCAGTGCTAGAGTCGCAATGACTACGCAGTGACTGAGGACTCTCGGCTTGTAGGGAATTGAAAAAACACCAAAAGGTCAAGAACAAGGGGTTCACAGCAGACTGGAAGAGAGTTTTTACATGGACAGTCTTGACTTCATTGGGACATCCATCGGCGCCACGTCTCGATCTTTTTTCTTGGGTTTCAACAAAAGTTTATTCTTCTCCCCCTGCTGCTGTCGCCTCTCAAGACTCGAGTTTGATTGGCTACTGTCGCTAGAGCTGAAATAAGCCCAGGAAGTACATCAACTGACACACAGGCACAACTTACACAGCACACAACGCAGCAACATAGATACTTGACACAGCACAGACACAGACCACTCATATAAACAAGAAAGAAGATTAAATGAGTTCAGATTTCAGCCTGATTTCACATAGTAAAGAAGGGGCAGGAATCCACAGCACTTATACTCAGTAGCAAGGCTAAAAACTGAAAGATCTAGAATCAAAATCATATGTCAACAGGGGGATCAAGGGTTTTTTTCATTCCACAGCCGGTGGCACTAAAGCATTTTGATATAAATTTGTCCCCAGAAAATACACAATACTTCTATAGCTTCCACTGCCCCCTAACACAGACGTTTAGTCTATTCAGCAGCAATAGCAGCTCTGATCAAGACAGCATATAGCTATATGCCAAAAGCTTAAAAACACACTGTCAGCAGCAGTGAGTACAGGAACATATCTGCTGTACGAACAGTCTTTAAAGAGAGCCCCTTGAAGTTTCAAACTTGTCCTTTCTTTCTCACCCTATAAAACCTCAAACACAAAACTCATGTCATAATGCTGGCCCATGTAAATCTGAGGTACATACATTGGGAAGATGGTATTTGAACTAAAATCATTTAGCATAGTTTTACCACTGTATGGCTATACAAAGTGAAATATATACCCCTAAGTTCGTAAAGCACTCAACAAAATAGGAAAGTATCGAATAAAACACAAAATGTATTTGTGTATCAGTACCATCTTACCACTGTTTTAATAGACAGTTCATTAAATACATTCATATCCGCAACATAAAAAAAGCAGCACAGGTCAGAGTTACCCTTATACACACCAGCATTAGCATATATGTCAATTTCCACATGGATCCACTGAAATTATTAAAAAAGCAGATAGATTTAACACTTTAAGCAATAATGTGAAAAGCCCTCGTGGTACAGTTTTTCAGGAAAAAGCTCATCATCTGCCTAAATTCCCGAGTGTTCAAATGAGATATGGAACTAAGTGCTCAGGAAATTTAATTGATAAATATTGCACAAAAATAAAAACCATGATTTTACAGGCCAGCTTTTGAAGATGAGCTAAAAGGCCAATGAAATCAGAAGCTAAATCTTTCATCTGATGCTGGACTGTCATGTGATTCCTTTTGCATATTATTTGATTTGCAAAAATATAAAACAGTCAGCGTAATGAACAAACTTAAAGAATAAAACAATTTTTCTAAATTCGGACAAACCATTAACACGAAGCTTGATTAAATAATGAATGTGCTGGAAACTTACTGATGTGAAAAGCTTTAGTGATGCTCAATATTGGGTTCACATTGGTGAGACACAGAGAGAGAGAGAGAGCCAAATGGAACTATGTGATCAGAGGGCGGTGAGGAACACTCATAAAAAAGCTAAGGGTAGGGGGACAAAGGGGGTAAAGGTGGGCGGTTGTTGTGTGAAAGACACTTACGGGAATGAAGTAACAGCTTTGGATGTCGAAGTTCCCCGCGACTTGTCCTTATCTGTGAGAGAAAATGATGAAATATCAGTTTTAGGAGACACAATCATACCAGCATGCTCTACTTATTTGTAACACTACTCTGAGATAGAACATTCATAAGCACACATTCACACATACCAGAAAACGCCCCTAAAAAAAAAATTCAACTCACTGATCAGTATTATGATATGCACAGTATGAAGATGTCACAAAACGAAATGAATAGTCTGATCTGTCAACTCAATTGATGTTGCTTTTATTTTTTCTAAGCACCACCTCTATATGGGTCAAAAACTAATTCTAAAACAATCTTTTAGTGCTGAGAAAAAGCAAGACTGATAGACAGACAGAGACAACAGAAAGAAAGGGAAAAAAAGTATCATCTACCAATAACACCTTCCACCCACCCTCTAAGAAGTTTGTACAAAGCAGATAAATATGTCCAATTATAATCATGTTCACATGGCTCTCTACTTCACTGTTTCAATAACAGCTCATTTATTTGATTGCTGGGGGGCGTGTGGTACTACCCTCTACCCTCTTCCCTAGCAATACCTAAAAAAGCCCTGTACCTACCATAATTCACTTGAATCACCCATACCTTGTAATACACACACACACATACACGCCCATGCACGCACGCACACACACACACACACACACACAAACACACATATAATATGTTTATAAATATAAATTCCTATACACACACAAAATCCACACAGACATATGAACACTGTCCTCCTCCGTGCAAGAACAGATATTCTTGTGAGTTGCCCTACCTCCCCCCCCCCCCCCCACACACACACAGAGACAACAACATGCATGTGAGCATATGCTCAAAAACGATGGGCATCCCCTGCATGCTTCCAGGTACAGGTGCTGTTGCAGTGGGCACTCTGATGATGCTTGCATTACTATAACAAGGTGTAATTCAGACCAAACTATATCTTTAACCTCAAACTGTTCACCTTCTCATTGGGTTGAGTCACCATGCACAATGTTAGGTATACAATATTCCAACAAGACAGTTGAGGAGGAAATGGAAGACTCTCTGGGCTGATATTTAATTCTACAGGCACATGTGGTTCCTGAATTGCTATATAATCCTCGACCCTTGTGTGGTCTCTACCCTGGCCCATTCTATAAGTTGTACAAGCAATGTTAGAATTTCATTAATAAACTTACAGCGCCAGAAAATATCTTTTATTCAACACAAATAGCATTACAGGGTCAAAAATAAGAAACAACTCACTTTATCATCAGGCGTAAGAAACAACTCACTCTATCATCAGGATTGCTACGCATAGAAATGAAGGCAGCCTTGAACAGCGTCCTTAGAAAATTAACTTGTGTCTGATGTACAAACCATTCCCACGTCCTTCCCACTTTAAAAATATCCTCTCCTCACTTACAAAACCAAACAAATATAATACACAAAACTGCCTCAACAAATATCTAATCACTCCCAAATGAAAAGTCAAAGGCAGAGAGTCCCCATACAAACATAAACATTACCATTTGCTTCTCCATCAGGCTCTACGGCCAGGCCTGGAGTTCTCTGCAAGGCTGCAGGCAGGACAAGAACAATAGGAGGAATATACAGAGAGGAAAATGTGTTAGTTTCTGTGGCAGGCAACAAACATGTCATTCGGTACATATGCAAGAGTGCGTGCGTGTGTTTGTGTTTGTGTGTGAGTGTGAGAGTGAGTTGCTGTGTGTGACAGAGTAAACATGTGTGTGTGTGTGTGTGTGTGTGAGTGTGTGTGTGTGTGTGTGAGCGTGTGTGTGCGTGCAGGTATGTGAGAGAGTTAAGGAGTGTGTTTGTGTGCATAGGAGAGAAAAATCTAGATGGAGAAGGGGGTGGGGGGGGCTTGGGACATTCAGACTTTGACCACATTGACAGAAAGACAGCAACAGATATAATGAAAAAGAAAGAGATTTAGATAGTATTCAAATGGGTGCATATACATGTGTGCGTAAGTTTGAGTGTGTATGCATGCATTATTACTCTTTTGAGCAGGGACAAAGGATTCCAAATGTATGTGTATGAAGAACAGGTGTCTCTGTATATGTGAAGTGTGCCTATGGATAAGCTTGTGCATCAAAAGAGCATGGATGAGTGTGCTACTGTATGCATGCCTGACACATAATTGGGTGCGTTCCTGCACATTTTTCTGTAAATGTCAGAGAGTACCTTTGTATGAACACTAAAAGACGTATGCAGAGCATTCTTTATCACATAAAAGATAACAAAACGTATTAAAACAGGTCAAAGATCTAACAAAGTCACACCACACTCATTCAAACATATGAACTCTTTAAGTTTCGTAATTGTGGCTCAAAATAAATAAGGACTTTAGACCTCCAGCATACACTTTGAATCACCATTGCTCTTGCGAACATTAAAGCATGGAATGTCAAGGAAAGGATTCAGTGGCCTGGAATGAATCTGACCCCACCTAGACTGAAACAAAGGAGGTGCGCAAATGAAATTGGCCAGATAATACTCAAAACTCTAAGGAGGCTCAATCTTTACAAGGATCTATGGGACAGCCCACTCAGGGAAGAATAATAAATCTTTGGCTGGTGACAGTGTTGAAGTGCTGGCTATCTATAATAAGAATGATTTATTAAAATGACCTCTCATATGGAGTGTAGTAAATGAGAACCAGTCTTTCTCTCTGTGTGTGTGTGTGTGTGTGTGTGTGTGTGTGTGTGTGTGTGTGTGTGCGCGCGCGCGTGTGCGTGAAATCAGGTGTGCATTAAATTTTGGGAATATAGAGTAATTGGTAATATCTAGAAGCTTGTTCATTTGTCTTGGTTTTGGTGAAAAAAATGAGTGTACGTCTAGAGAAAAGTCGCCCCAGACTTTTCAAGCTACAGGCTGATAATGACAAAAATCACTTTTTTGACCAAAATGTGTTTCCATTTTAAAAAAAGATAGATCCTCCATTTTTGTACAATGTACTCAAAGGGTTTCAATTGATTTGACTTCTAAATATTGTATTTTTAAAATTATTTTGAGGGTAGGTATAATAAAAAACAAATAATGGAAACTGTTTTTATAAGGTGTTAAAAATCTATTCTTGAAGCCCTGTTATATTTTACCAGTGAATTCCATTCATGATATAGATGTCAACTGGGTGCCAAATTGGACATGAATTTTCCATGAATAAATACATTTTTAAAAATCGTTATTTTTAACTTTGTATGTGAATGTGTTCTCACGTTTGTTAAACTTAAAAGCTCATTTTCTTAAAATTCTATCTTTATACCCTACCTCGCAAAATGTGCAATATCTCAAAAACTACTTGAGATATCTAAAAAAAATTAAAGACCCCTGTGTTCAGCATTGAATTTCCTAAACGATAAAACCCTTAACTCAAAATTTTCAAAATCCGACTTTTGGTACCTTTCTTTAGGCACCAAATACTTATTTATCTGAAATAAAATTTGAGATATTCGCAAATCAAGGAGGGGATGGTAAGCCTGGTGTCAGGCAAAATAATTAGCAAGAAAATGGCCATCAAAGTTTGGTAACAAGGTCCTTGGAAACTGCAAAGTTACATATTTGGTACCTTTAATCAACATTTTTCAATAAAATCTACACAGAAATGTGTTTCTAAATATATGAACAGAAAAGGAATTGAGCAACACATAAAAGTAGACAAAAATTGCCCAACTGGTGGTAATACGTTGTTTTCTTTGATTTCATAATTTTAAATAGTCCCTGATTTCATCATGATGCCTTACACTGCTTTACACATATTGTGATGATGTTGAAAATTGCTTTAAAAAACCATCTCTTGTCATGGCTCTTGCAGAGGGTACAACCATAAAATATTATTCTTTTCTGCAGCTTATTCTACCACTACACAGACTGAATTAGAAATGAGCACTGAAAAAATAGTTTCCATCCTTATGCAAAGACCACTAATGTCAAATTAATCCTCTGTAAGTTCCACTTTGTTATTCATATGCACAGGTGGTGCAAAAGCTACTGTTGGCTTACTGTAAATACAAGTGATTAAAATTCATTAGAAAATCTTTACCTTCTATAATCTTATCTTTCTTTCACTAACTAGGAACTTACAATTACAATGTTAGAACAAAACATTGAAGACATGACATGTGAAAAAGCAAAAAAGATGCAAATATGTCTGTAATAAAGTAACAGCTTGACTCAAACATAAAAAGGCACATTAGGGAATATATAAAAATTCTGAAACAAAAAAAATTAAAAGATAAAAACAAAACACAAGGGTGAAAAATAGGTGTATTATTATATTGTCAAGTCTTAGACCACAACTCCATCAGTAAAACCAATGAGGATGCGAGATTTGAGACTGACTTCAACCTCAAACATGTCTTGGTAATCTATTTTGAAATAAAATGTCATGATAATTCCTATCTCAAAAACACAAGAAAACCCAAGAAAAACTTGAGCAAACAACAAAATCAGATTATTCTGAAGCCAACAATCGATTCATGTCACCTCCACGCTTTTTTAGAATTTCCCTTAGGGCCTGTTGACGCACGCCGACTAACATTTCCTGCAGGAGGGAGTTGACTGAGAAAAACAATCTCTGGTTAAGAGAGAGAGAGACAAAGAGATAGTGAGAGAGAGAGGGACTTCCTGTCAACACACAACACACAAGTTCAACTAGTGGGGACAGCAAGAGAGTCAGACCAGGAAACTGAGGTCATCAATCAGGAAATACAAGGTCAGATCACAAAGGAGACAGTTGTGCTTAAATCTGAATAAAGAAAAGATGAGACTACAAGTGATACAGACACTGGCTGCAAGATTGAGGGACCATAAACTAGACACAAACGACTTCTTTTAGAATCTATCTCCGGTATATGGCACAATATTGTATAACTGCTATTTAAACACCCACGTCTCACCCTTTGAAGTACTGGTGGGCTAAGCATATCAAAAACAAAACAGACGGCTTTTCCCAAAAAACTCAGCTCCAGCAACAAGAGTTAAAAAATAATTCTTTTTTTACCCAGAAGAAGGACAAAATGTGACACTGTTGACGGAAGGTAAGTCACATAAATCAAAGAGGATATAAAGAGTCTTCACAGCATGTTCTCCTTCCATCTTCAGCATACATTTCCATTGCATTATGAAGTGGCTAAATACAGGACTCCCTGACAGGCTCTTACACAAAACAAACCACAAACAGAACAAACAACAGGTCTTGACAATGGACTTATCTCTAGAGTACAGGTAGTCTATATATTATATTTGTGAAAGTTCGTCACTTTGGTCGCCCTAAACTTCCAAACGGTGGATCAGAATCATTTAAAGGGTGAACAGTTATATTAAGGAGTCTGAAGTCACGGTAGTTTAATTTTCAGTTTTTGATCCAATCTTGGGGGAAAGTCCGTCTTCTAAGACGCCATTGTAAACAAGTGAGGCTTCCGTTCACATGCAGTGCGCACTGGTCCCACAAGGACTTGACGATCGATTCCTTTGAGTACGTTCATTGAATGGGGTACCCAGCTAATATACTCTATTTCTGCAATACAGGTGCTGGGAATAATTAAACATTGGACACTCTGAGAAGCTACCGAGTAGAACAAACCATAACTTTCTCGACAGTGGGGCTACCTCAAGAGTACCTCTGCTCTCCTTCACATTATATTTTCACAGATACTGAATGTAGTCTCAGACTAAGACCAAAACTTACTGAACCAGACATCGAGAATCTAAGATAAAATGATACCGGTACTGAGAAGTAAACCAAATGAGCAGATGATCGAGTCAACTCTAGTGACACAGTCTGACACTGAGAGAGAATATCACTTCTATCACAAAAAACGTAAACACTTCATTTCTCTGTGTGATGAGGGAGTGAAGAGGTCTGGTTACAACCTACTCTTGAAACGTGTGCTACCAACAAAAAGAAGCAAACAATCACGTCAGGTCTTGATAGGGAGCACAGTCCAATCAGTGTGCAAAGCTTTTACATGAAAGTGCAACACAGAACAAATACTGTACATATAGTCCAAGTGTCGAATTTCCGCTTTCACGATTATTTTGTGAGCTGGGATGTAGCCAGCGGCCAGTCAACATGACAACAGCGAGAGGACTGGGTAAAAAGTAATTCATAAAAGAAGCGGAAAATCCAGAGCACCCAGGAATCATTCAAAAGCCTACCAACAAAACAGTACACATTAGGTAAATAGAACTTGGGTAATACCAGTCTTTAAGACATTAATACAGCCAACTAAAGCCAAAACCAAAAATTTCTCTTAGATGTTACTAAGGAAGATATGCAGAAGTCCGCACCCTTTAAAATACAGAATAGAAGCACTGAACATGAAAGAGTACATTCACACATTGATATTCGTAAAACAAACTGGCACAAATATTCTTAGTCCACACATTAGAGAGGCAGTGTGAACAAAGAGTGAGTGAGCAAATGATGTAGTCAAAGCACAGCAGTACTTTCATGACAGGAAATCGTCAATATTTTAAGACTGCCCAAAAATGAGGAGTGTTATCAGAAGTGAGTTACAAAGGCACCGAACACACTGTCAAAGTTGTTACCTTAGGCGTGACAACCGCATTACAAACACTTTTAATAATACCAAACATTAGGTGAAAAGTGACAGTAAAATAGGTTAAATTTTCATAGCTTTCTAAGTAGAGTGATTCCTTAAAACAACCTGGAGGGCCAAAGCAAGCATATCTGAATATTCAGAAAATTTCAAAAAGGAAAATGACAAAAAGCCACTACCTAAATACACTTCAAGATAGAACAATGAAAATGCTTGCTTTGGTACTCAAAATATGGATTATTGGATAAGTAAAGAAGAAGAAAGAAGCATGGACAAATGAAAAAAAGTTTTTTTGAATTATCCTCAGATACGAATGTAATAAGTAAAAGTCAGAGTAACAGCTGTACAAAGATGAGTGACAATCAACAGTAATGGGCCTTGACTACCTTTGTTGAGCGAGTCCACTTACAAAGGAAGACAACCTTCTGACATGGTGCACAAAGAGGTTAACAAATAAAATTAAATAGCAAGAGTGGAAGAAAAAAAAGCACTAAACAAACGGTGATTAATGAGAGTTACTGTGGACATAGAAGGCTAAGAAAGCAGGTCATAATCCATATTTTAAAACAGAAATTAAAAAGCTATAACTGAATAAATCTAGCTGAACTGAAAGAAAAAATTATAAGTAACCTTCAAGGAATTTTAAATATTCTTACTAGTTTTCTCCTTTTACTGCAAAACTCTATACCTAACAAAATTTTTTAACTGAAACTGTCCGTCTATTACAGCAGTTCATATTCTGTAAATATGGATTATGATAAGTTGCTTTTGCTTTAAAAAAAAACAAAAACAACACAAAAAAAGTTAAAATTGACAAAACATGCCCTTGTGAAAAAGCATACTGAAGTGTGGAGTACTGGAATACATATTGCAGACACAACATGAGAAACCGTGATGGGTAACAGGTGTGTATACAGGAGGCTATTGAATGAATTTTAAAAAAACCAAGATGTTCAAAGCTACCTAAAACCGCTGCTGCTCCTTTCTTGAACATTGCCACTTAGGTAGGAAGGAAGGAGGAAATAGAAAACAGTGACAAAAATATTCTGGTAAATACTGGCACACTGCATTTAGAAAACGAACCAAAACAAAAAATGGTGGTATTACACAAAACCAATAAGACATAGTAAAACATTATGTCCTTGTGAGGGGGAGAACGCTTGCAAACACCACTCCCATGCATGTGAAGGCTATATAGGTTCAAATATTCATCAAGTTCTTTGCTGTATCATCAGGGTGTGTAATAGCTCGCCATGATTGGTTCATATTAGACTGAGTACTCAAAGATATCACAATTTTGAAAACCATCTCCTGGAAGAACCTATCATACGAAAGCATAACGAAAGATAATATTTCAGTAACTTTTAAAAATATGAGTAACTAAAAAACAAATAAACCCTGTCCGACGTTACATATCTTTAAAGTTCTATCTGATAGTAAATAGTAAAGATAAAAAAGAAAAAACCCCCCAGGAAAGCATGCTCCTGACTTCATGACAAAATGAAGACTTTTCAGGTTAGCAGAAGCCGTAAATGGAGAGCCTGCACTGGGCTAAATGCACAGAACCTTTCTTTCCATGGCAGCTGTACATAGTACCATTTCTTCTTTAGTATAGGAAACAGAACTATAGTAACACTGTGATTTTTAAGAGGCTTCCAACATATCTGCTGTACGCTAGACAATTTTCAAAGAATATCAAACTAGCATCTATGTTCTATATGGAATTGTGTTTTAGAATCGAGGGCTTGCCATTTGATGGAACCAAAGAATAGAAAGCAAACAGTTTTTATCTAAGGGCCATATTCATAAACAAGTTTGATGCACTGATGGCATAACAGGAAAAAAATATTATTTTCTGAGATGCCTCAAACTCTTCCACAAATAATCTAAGGCCATAACAAATTATTTACAACACCTTCTAAACTTAAGAAACCATCATTTCTGCCAAAAACATAATCATTTCATCAAACTCTATGGATTTATGAACACAGCCCCAGCTCACTATATACCAAAAGGCCAAAATGTGCACCCCATATCACGTACACTTCAGGAGAAATACACTTCAGCCAGGGAGAAATAAAACCAGTTGCCTATGACTGTCTAATTAGATGGGATGCACTAGAATAGAGCTATCAAATACTTACGGGGTCTGCACTTGCACTTTTTGATCTGTCTCACATCAGAAACATTGGCGTGGCAGTTCTTGCAATAGTAAAATGCTCTGAAACAGAGAAAAATAAAACTAGCCCTCTCTTTCCCACATGAGTATATAAGAAACAAATTCATTCAATATGTATGACGCTGCGATAAAAACACACTTCCACTTCCCGTCATGCCCCAGTTTAAATCTTTAAAGTACATAAATAAATGACCGAGTTAAGCATAAATTAGGTTCTTAAGGACTGTGAGAAGATAAAAGCTGAAAAAAGCACATTTGAAGGAACGCAGTTGTGGTTTTGCATTGAAAAATGTAGAAAATGAGCTGTCAATAATTTCAATGTCTTTTACAGAGATGGAAAACCACCAGAACTTACTTATATTTGGATGACGAGACATATTTTCATAGGTCATAAACAGACTAAGGCTACCTGAATTATTTTTTACTTGCATTACGTAAGGCCCGGTTACACTTAACAATGAATTTTTAAATAATTGAACAAAATTCAAGCGTCACCTGATATTTTTTGTGCAAGGTGAGTTGGGGTGCAGAATCACTTTGAAATTAGCTGCCGTAAGGGATTAAACTTAGTATGAAAAATTGAAAAATACGGGAAAAAAGAGCCTCATGAGAATATCAGACACACAAGAGAACCCGTCATCCATGACTGTGGCTCAAAAAGACGACTAAATGGTGTATCATTTTATTCTCTCGTGTTATAAGCTCTCAGCTCCTCTCGTGTCTCACATACAATTTCTTTTGTCATAGTTAAAAACTTTAAGTTGTACTGCTCGATGAGGAGATTAATTGTCCATGAAGCATCAATGTCTGAGCTGTATAATGTATTCAAACAACTTTGCCACAAGCAGGTGCATGCTTTAGAGAATTTGTGATGTGTTGTGCAAGTGTGGAAGCATGAGGACCTTTTGAAATAAGACATTTTTATTTGATCTTGCAAGCCCTAGCCCTGTAGAAACCTTTGACGGATTAAAGCTGTAGTTATTCAACCAAAAAAAAAGAAAAGTCAGTTATTGAAATTTTACAAAAGATTTCCAGTATAAGAAAAGCTTTTGATATGCGCCGATGTTTGTCCTCAAAGTGGTCGATTTTTGTGCTTGTTATTTTGCAGAAATCTAAAGGCCCACTTGTGCTTTAAGAAAAATTGTACACAAATAGGATGATGGACGATTTATCGTTTATGCAATATTCGTTACACGTACCCAAACACTTGTATGAAAACAGGATGATCGGACAATAGATTGGAGACAAGACAGAGAAATCAAGCGCTGCCTCATTTTTGGGGGCCATCTGTATTAGATTTGGGAGAGACGAGCTTGGACGTAGAACCCCTCTGAAATTTGCCGCAGAGCAGGAATAAACATAGCGTTTAAATTTTTAAAATATAGTTATCTGTCGAAAACAACTTCATTTTCAGAACCAGCATTGCAATATAAGCAAAGTAGGTCTTTAAGAACCTGACTTGACGTGATATTTAAACTTAAGCAAACATTTTATTTTTCAGTTGACGGTGAAGTCATGTACCACGGTCATCTAGTGTATAACGTATCTGACGTGAAAACTTCTACCCATACACAGCACAGTCACTGAGCAGTATGGTGACTCAGTCAAATGACACTGTTATTTTCTTTATTGAGATGAACAGATCCGATGAATGTCTGTGGAAGGCCAAAGACTAGAGCAGCAAATTAATAGAGAGGGTATAAGAATAACCAGCGTCATTTTTGCCAAAAGTTTAACCAAGATGCAACCAAAAACTTTTGTGATAAAAAAAAAAAGACTGGCTTTTAAAATGAATTATAGGCCTACATTCACCAGATCCCGACTGATAGCTTTCTTCAGTTCTTCAACTGGAATGTCGTTCAGATTGTTTAGATCAAATCACAGTTTTTGGTTTTCAACGACTGCTTTGCTATTTCATAAGATGTGTATACTTGTCTTTTTTCTGAAGAGGTTGAAAAACAATGTTAGATACATATTAGCAAGCGTTATTCCAATTTTCCGACAGAAAAAAAGGATGACCGATATGGAATTAATAATTGTTCAGATACTATAAAAAAGCTGATGTTTCATGGTTTTCAGGCTGTATGTCGGTTCATGGCCACTGCACATATCAAATGATATGGAAGGATAAAATAGAAAAGACAAATGACACTTTAATGACAATGACAATGACAATCTTTATTCATCTCGCAGGGAGAAATTTGTCTTGGTCGTTAACAATGGCAGTAGACGTTACAAAAGTTAGACATAAAGGTGCACTCACGCAAACGCACAACAAGACAGGACATTATGCCAAGTAAATACATGTCTCACGGGCTGGGACAACCCGCTCCTTAACACATTCATTCTCTCTCTCTCTCTCTCTCTCTGTTTCATTTGTAGCACTGTGTGTTCAGTAACCTCACTGCAGTTGGTACGAATGAATTTCTATATCTGTCTGTTCTTGCTTTTTTGGAAATGTATTGTTTACTGCGGGTCGATAGTTGAAATTCCGATGTCAGTGGGTGGCTATGGTCACTAAGCATTATTTCCGCCTTTTTTAGAACGTTTGTCTTGTGCAGATATTCAAAGTTACTTAGGTCTCTACCAATTGTTCTTGATGCCTTTTTTATCAACTTATTTAGTTTTATAATGTGCTGCCTTCCCAGATTGCTACCATAGCAAGTGGTTCCAAAATTTATCAAAGTTTCTATTGTGGTGGTGTAGAAAATCTGAAGGATGGATGGATTCAGATTGAAAGACTTTAGTTTCCTCAGAAAGTACAGCCTCTGATTTACTTTTTTAGCGATATTGTTTACGTGGTTTTGCCATGTAAATTTGTTGTCTATTGTAAGGCCAAGCTTTAAGTCATATACGTCTATTTGCCCCTACTTTTTGATGATTAACCCATTTCTTCTGTCTGCCAAATTAACACAAGCATTTCTCAGACATCAATCAGCTGGATGGCAGCAAACTTACCATTCTCTCTTTGAATTCAAGCAGAGAGAACACACTCTAAGGAATTCCACGACAAAAGAAAAGAACCTACCAGCACCTCTTACAATTTGGCACATGACCAAAAGGAGGAAGCATATGCATTGCTGGATCAGAAACAGCAATAACAATCCTTTCTACTATCCCGTTCTGACCCTGAACTCTTTAAGGACATAACAGACACAATGTCCGATCAGCAGCAGGCCAACATCAACATTGTGGCACATTTCCAACCATCATACACAAATCAGAAACACTAATTTGCATATTTCACAGCATGCGTTCTGTTACCACCCATTTTGAGTTGTAGATAAAGAAAACAGAATTGAGTAATCATTACGAAGAATGAAGTTATGCTCCTATTTTAAAGTGCCCCAAAAGAGTGTATCCTGAAGCATTATCCAATGACCAAAACATACGAGGTAACACACTGTCCTGAATACAGTGTCTGCATCCTTTACCCTCTCATAAAAAGACATCCAAGGAAGCTACAGCTGCATTCCCATCAGGACTAAGAAGTCTGCACACTCAGCAGTAGCTTGTTATAGTTTAGCAAGAGTAAATTGAAGTTCAGGACTTCCCTTGCTGGTCGAGAGGGCATGCTTCTTAATAGCTGAAGTCAAATAAACCAAATGTCAGTGCGCCAGTTCCACCCAGGCTAAAGAGAAAAAAATGTTAACTCCAGATCAGTAGAAGAGACCCCCTTCCTCTAACCTTTTGACCTCCTCCGCAGACTCCGCGATGAAGAAGCCTTGGGTGGCATTCTCAATCTTCACTTTTGGGCCGGGGTTGATGGCTAGGGTGCTCTCCCTTGTGTCTTCCTGACGTACCTCTATAGCCAAGAGCAGCAACTTCAACTTGGAGAAACACAACCTGAGAGGGAAAATGAAGACAACATGAATTTACAGCATTATACAGGATGTGTAACTTGATCAAACCAAACCTTGCAGCGATAAAATCATGGTTTTCCCCCCAATGCCTGAGGTGTCAACCCTCAACCTTATCAGAACCATATTTCTAGGTATATAATGAGGTCAAACAATTTTTTTTATCAAACAATATGACCGTGTCCATTTTTAGCTTCAAATCTAACAAAAGCTTGCAAAAACTGCATAAAGGAAAGTGTAAAAATAATTTTGTTATATACGAAATTCAAACACATGACAAATTCATTGTTTCACTGTTATGTTGCAGTGTAATACACCAAAATAATTTCCGCTCCACTGTGTTTTCAAAATAATACAAAGGCCGATTCTGACACTGTATGTAAGTCAAGAGATGAAGGCATTCCAAATTCAGAACTGCCCTTTGAATTAAAGTCCTGACATTTGTAGTTCTTTTTCTTTTTATATATGTGTATATGATGTGTCATTTTTTTGTCTGTTGCGTCAAGTATCCCTTTTTTTTTTTTTCATGCTGGACCATTTCTTCCTTCTTTCTACACAGGCAATCAAATCTATTCCATGTATTTAATTCAATTTTGGTGATGATTCAAAACTATGTTCATAGATTTTTGCTGACAATAATCCCCCCCCTCCCCCCCAATTTCGATTACCAAATAAATCTGTAACCACAGGAAACAGCAGGGGTCTAAAAATTTATAGGCCCCTACTCAAACAAAATGAGTATCTTCCTGCTGGTCTCAAAATCATTAGTAAACCTAATAGAGCAGATTTAATTCAAACCATCTCTAAAACCAACATATTTTGTTTTCATTGTGAATCTACTTTTCATGATAATTTCCCCACAAGTATTTGTGTGCTGCAGTCCCAAAATAGAAGAAATATTACAAAATTTTTTAAAATATCTCCTTCACCATTTGCAAGCCTTCCAACCAATAACCCAAATGCAAGTAAACCTCTGGTCAAAATAAATTACAAAAGGAGGATTTTTTAACCTTGGCTCCCTCTTAAATTTCAATTACAGTCGAACCTGCGTAAGACGGAATCGCGAGGGAACCAGAAAAAAATTCCGTCTTAGACAGGGGAATTTAGGGGGAGATGGAAAGGGTGAGGGGGGGGGGGGGGGAGGAAGAGTTCAAAGGCCCATCCGGTGAGATCAAGGATCGCTTGTCCGATCGGCAATCAGGGGTCAAAACTTCACACCTCTCTATTGCAATGACATGCGTCAGTCTTACTTATCCAATTACCACCAGTGCTTGCCTCTTCTAAGACAACTGTTTGATCTATTAAAAACATAAACGTTTGAACATCTTTGCTTCCACCCTTAGCCCCACCAATCAGTGTAACAAGCACAGTCAACCAATGCCACCCCTCACTGCCATCATGTAACAACAATTCAAGGAACTCTTTTCTCTGCTGGCCTACGATCAGGGCGGCAGGCATCGGTCAGTCTAATTTCACACCTCTGGCTTCTGGCTACCCAAGAAAGTTTCCGTAGTGGTTCGCTACTCGAGGACTCTCACAGGCAGTCGTGAGACTTCACACCCGCACTACACTGACAATCTGCATCGCTCAGGGTTCACATGATGGGGTAACATCTACCCCCAAATTGCACCCCTACTCCCCTGCTTCGTCCAGCCGTATGGCCTTGGTGTTAAGTGTAGAATCAAACTTGCGAGTTTTGTTTCAAATCAGTGCTGAGCGGGCAAAGCATTTTCCGTCTTAGACAGGTGAAACTCTCGGAAGGGAGCGGATTTTTCTTTCCCTTTCCACGTTGGACAGGTTTCCGTTTTATACAGATAATTAAAGAGGAAAAAATCAAGGGGGGGGTGGGAAGATTCCGTTAAGACAGGTTTTCATTTTATACAGGTTTCCGTTAAGGCAGGTTCGACTGTATATACAAATTGCTACAAGTCTTACAGTTCACAATAATGACTTTCAAACAAGCACCCCCCCCCCCCCCCCCCCCCCCCCCAATAGCTTTTACATAATGTGTGCAACATTTGTTCAGTAGGAAGTGCTAGTAGCTTGGTCTTACTCTGCAGCCTCTGGGAAGGTGAGGGCGTTAAAGGCACTCGACAAATACTCAGTGTACATTTCCATGCCAGTCCCTCGCATATAATCAGTCTGCCACTGTGACATCTCAGGCGTCTGGCAGGACAAGGAAAAACAAACATAAAAGTATGAGTTAGGGCAAGAAAATCACCAAAAACAAATTTACATCATGGTTATATAAGACATTTAAAATCATGGTCATATAGGATTGGTTGTTATAACACTAATACACAGAGCATTTAAAAGGTAGGGCACATTCGTCCCCTATCGTTACACCAGACTGAAAAAAAATATACCAAGAGGAATGAGAAATATTATTCAGACCACACCGGGCGTCAATCCATAAAATTTAACACGAAAGCTCAAATTCATACTGATCTGTACCAGTACATAACATGCAGGGAGCAAAAGTACAAACACAAATGACAGAAGGATAAGAAATCACCATGAGAAATAGCTAAACAGAGGTATATATATAACCCTTTTCGAAAGAGGTACAAACATAAGAATTCACTGTGCTTTTTGTAGTGACAGTTTACAGATAGGAAATATTCCCTAAATTAATACAGTTTAACGGGCAGGCAGGGCTGACAAAGAATTAAACAGACAGAAAGACAAACAAACAAACAGATAGATCAACATACTGACAGACAGACATACAATAATGCAGAAGCACATACAGGCACAGATTGTAGTGCAACATAATTAGAGAAATAATACTCATTCTCTTATATATAATATCTATATATATATATATATATATATATATATATATATATATATATATATATGTATTTCTTGATATCTCTTTAAGTATATTTTTGTTCTGATTTTAACACTCATTTTATGATGATCACTTGGTACTTTATAGTAACAGATAAATCAGCTAGTTTTCTTTCGAATTCGAGAGATATGAAGACTTCTAAATGTAAGGGTTTAAGATCAGGCTGTCTTGAGAAAGACTCACTGGTTTGTATGAGCGCATGGTGAACAAGTTTGCCATCAGAGTGGAGAAGCCGGGGGCCAAACAGCTTTGGGCAATGAAACCAAGTTTGAGTTCCGCCACACATACAGCATCGTCTCCTCTCTTCCAGTCCCAGCTGGGAATGTTCAGCAAATAGGCCTACAGGGGATACAAAAGAGCATGCTTAAATTAAGTCGATGAGTCTTTTGAGATATAAATTATTAAGAGCGCTGTGTGTTGAGAGGGCATTTGCACTATACTAAAGCTATCCAAATAGTAGTAACAATAATAATAATAATATTAATAGTAATAATAACAATAACAATAACAATAAAGAACACAATAATAATGATAACATTTATATAGCGCATATCCACACTCTACACCATGCTATATGTGACACCTAGTGATCCAGTCTTCATGATTCAGGGACGATTCCTTGTACCCAAAACCTAAACAGGGACTGCCAATTCCAGTCAAAAGATTCATTTGACTTTAATCTAACATGCACAGAGCGAAATCAGAGGGAAGCAGAAATCTTTTCATAAGTATGATTTTCACTATGTAGGAGTTTAACATATACTCTTTAACATTCTTAACTTCACACCGCAAATCAAAGGCAATATCTTGATAAATACTTATCAAATCTGTCTGAAAATTTCAGATAAGACAGTGCATTCATTTTACAGCAAGGGAAACATGTGGAATGCAACGTTCAGTAACGTGTGATGACATCTGGTGTAGTTCAGATCTTTACATCGTCGACGCACGGATGGGATGAATCGAGGTATTGACTATTTAGGGATGATGTTCCACTCTTGAATAAGGTTTAATCTAACTGAGCAAGGGACAGAGGAAGGCGTGGTCTTGAGCAAGGGACAGAGGAAGGCGTGGTCTGTCGCAAATGGCCCTGAACTGGATTGAGATTTAGTGAATTTTCTGGTCATGGATGCAGGAGAGGAATGTTGTTAGTTTTGAGAAATTGATTTGTCACAGCAACCTTATGAGCATGAACATTATCAGGCATGAATTCTTGTCCTTCGGCTTCATTTTGAAAGAAAAGTACATTGCGCTCAAGAACATGGTTGATTTAGCCTTGAGCTGTTAAGCTCCCAGGAATAGACACAAGCGCAGTCGAGCCAACATCACCGATTTCAGCCCACACCATGACACAACCTCTACTGAAATTATGTGCATGTCTGAAGCAAGCTGGGATGTAAACTTTGGTTGGGTCTTTTGTAGACTCTGGTACTTACATCGTGTTGTTGCAGTCAAAATTGGGACTCCTCTGAAAACATGTACGTACGTTTTCCAAATACGACGTGGCCATCATACGCGCGCTGTGCTCAGTGAAGTCAGAGCTGGATGCGATGAGGCAGCAGTTATATTCAACAAACTAGGCCCCTAGAACAAAGGCTCCCCTCTTTCAAACGAAAAAGAATAGTCATGACAAATATCGGACAGTCATTTCTAAGTCTTTTCGACTCAACCCAAGTCTTCGTTTGCCGGTTGAAATTGATTTCTCAAGCGTTGCATTAGGATGAATGCGTCCACCCTCCATTTTGTCTTTCTGTGTCCTACTCGCTTGGATGTGTCCTTTTGGGAGCCTATCGTTGCCATGTGACCCAGTGTGGCATACACAGTATGTCAGTTTATGTTGAACCGTCTCGAGAATAACGAAAGTGGAGTGCCCACCTGAAGCATTTAAAAGATGTGATTTCAATCCAATTCATTCAGCCGAAGCATGGTGAATCGATAAAGAAAAACCACATCTGTATGTGGCGAAAAATTTGGAAGGAGTCCAACTTAGCGTGTGTAGTTTTTGTTTTCAAAGTTACCCACACGGTATTTGACAAAATATCAAAAACCTCGTGAATGACATCATGAGACAAAACGATCGACCAGTGTACACTAGTTAGTACAGTTCACGAACGACAATGAGCTAGTGCGACAGGTGTAAAAATTTCAAAGTAATTGGAAGTGTAGTTTTTTTCGCTACACACTCTTAAAATGTGTGAAGTTAAAAAAGTTAAAGAGTATATGAGGCGTTTAAAAAAAGGACCTATTTGAAGGGCAATAACTCTGTCATCTTTACATGAATATCAACAAAACTTTGAACAAATAAAATTCAATAGATGACGGCAATTTGCAAATATGAAAGAAAAAAAAATCCATGTGTACTAGAAAGATCAAGTTTAAAAAATGTTGACCAAAATTGAGTTAAAGAAAAATTTCACCTCTTAAAAACGTTCAGCTACAGGGGCAAGATAGAACCATTCTGATTTCAGGACAAAGATGGTAAAACAACAAACATCACATAAAATGTAATCTCACCATACTGAGAAAGTTTTGGAGAAGTATGATCGGGGTTGGCGGAGGGAGGAGGGTGGAGGGAGGAGAGAGAAAATGTTATGCTGTTGGGTTTTTTCTTTACAAACAGACTACGGAAACAACCAACAAACAATCAAACACTTGAAACTAAAGGTTGAACAGGAGGTCCAAAGAATCTACTTAATAGAAACATGCCACAGGACTGAAACAGTCAATGTGCCTTTGATGTCATTGAAAAAGGCAGAACGGAGAACTGAAACTCTAAAGAGTGGAGCCAATCGCAAGATGTCAGGATGAGTATCTGATCTCTCAAGGAAATGGCACCACACATGTCTAAAGTTTACATCACTCCAAAATAGTTTTCTTGATCAGTGAATTCGTTGCAATTCACAATCAAAGTTCCAGACGGATATACAGCATAGCAACCAGTCAGACTCTCACAAACTTCAACTGGCAGCCTAAAGCAGGAACATTCAGCTGGGTAATCTTTATACAAAGTAAACAAAGTATATTTCCAAAGAATACGTTCTAAATGCAAAATAGTGAATGAAACTCATAAACTTAAAACACTTCAGCCACTAAATTAAAATACCCTTCATTTCAGAGTACTGGAAGTAACTTCCACCCCTATTCTTATCACTAAGAGATAACATTCCCTGTGCCTGAGATAAAAGCAGTGCTCTCACTGACCTTGTTATGATATTGTAGCAACTGGACGATCACTTTAATATCACTATGGTAATTCTTGATGGAGATGACTCGCATGATGTTGGCAGCATCCTCTTGATCGGGATCCTGACAGTACTTATTTGCAAGCACTAGGCAGGCGTCTGCTTCTTGGATCTGTAGTGGAGTTAACATACAAAAGGATTAACAGCACATCAACAAAACTATTGCCGTAACGTGTTTGAGGAAGGAAAGTATAGCAGAAAAAACAAAAGGACTGGAAAAGAAAAAGACATATAACTAGTTATGGTAAAATATGAGAGATTGATTATTCCCAAGACTTATTTTTCTCAGTTCCCACCCCTAACATGAAAGACAAGAGGAAAGCAAATTAAACTAATACAAAGTAAATATAGACTGTCATTCACACAACCTCTAAATTCCTGAATCTCAATGACAAATACCCAATAAATGATGCTCAGCCTTCTTTTGAATTTTGGGGCAAGAAAGAGAGGGGATGTAAGGAGTTAAAAAACCCAGATGCACAAGCATGCAGACACATATGTTTATTTAAACAAGTCATGACTTACAAATCAGAACCTACTAGTCTGCAAGTCACGCTGATACCAGAGAGCTGCATCATAAATAAAATTTGTATGGTTACCAACTGCATAATTTAGACACTTGTGTAGGTCATAATATTGTCCCTTGATATTCTATTCTCTTCACTCACCCCCACCTCCACGCTACAGCAAATTGACAAAAGAACTAGCAGCAGGGAAGGGTACAGTTTTTTTAAAAACCCTTTGCTTTTGCCACAGGAGGAGAAGAGCTAAATACATTTGAACTTACTCTTGCCATATAGCCCAAAATGCTTTTTTGGTTTCTTTTCCTCCACTACTCCCCAACAGACTTAAAACAAATATGAAAGACATGAACAGGGACAAAGACAAAAAACAGACTTACTTTGACCCTTTCCAAATCATTTGCATCCATGACAGAACCCCAGAAATATTCCACCTGGGTGAAATGTCTCTTCAACAACCCTTCCAGCTCCAGGCCGGGTAACCCTCTGAGAAAGACATACATATAATACTCTGTAAATATATAAAACAACTTAGCAATATCAACTGCATTATTGATTACTTGTGTCTTCAGCTGAATGTTTGGATCCTCCCGTTCCGTCCAAGGTGTTAATTATGGCTAGGGATTTTATTTCGCTCCTCTCTGTTCTATCTTATCTCAAAGAACAGCAAAAAATTTATCAATTAATTTCTTGAAATAAGTAAACTTATAATTGAAGCTGACCACACTCTAGGACCACATTCATTAAAAACTCCACATTCATTAAAAACATAATAAAGACTATTATGTGTAGACATAATGGAGATATCACGGGCAACAAAAATCATTCCAAGTAAAGTCACTTACTTGTGTAAAAAAACAATCTCTACATCCACATCTTCTCTATCTTTGTGGAGAAAATCTTTCAGGAAGTTGGATACAGAGTCGAAGGTGATGTACCCACATACCACAACATGCCTAAGGAGAAAGCAAAGTGACATGACAATGAGTAAAAAGTATAGAAGAAAACCATTTTATTGCCCCACCTTTGTGCTACCCTCTGCCATTATTCTTCTTTTCTGAGGTGCCAACATCATTCACAAGAGAAACGAAACTAGAAGCCTACATTTTCCTCCCCTTTTCCTGCATCCACATAATATTAGAGAACAGTGCTGATGGATGTAAAAAGAAATGACAGCACTTTAAAGAAGAATATCAGAAACAAAGGAAATATCCTTCTTGCCCTTATCAACATCATCAAGTGCCAGACCTGCAAGACATCGGCAATCACGGTTCTCCATTCCTCGTTTTGCTCATATGCTTTAAAAAAAACCTATATTATCCCAGCCTTTCCACGTCAGCCATTCTGTTCCAGCTTTCCATGTAAGTGGCTTTGGGTCTTCCCCTGCTTCATTTCTTTTCTTTTTTCCCTCTTTTTAATACAATGTCTAATTCTGTGTTATGTCCCATTAATTCAACTCTCTGGCATGAACCACTATGCTTAATAAAGACTAACTCTGGGTTGTAGGGGTTTTTTTTCTTTTAGAATAGACTAACTGTTGAAGAAAGTATGAAGAGGCATTCATTTCTACAAATTAGGGATACAACAGACACTTCCACAAGTATCATGTTGGCCAAATCTCTCTCTCTCTCCCTCTCTCCCCTTCTCTCCCTCTCCCTCCCTCTCTCTCCCTCCCTCTCTCTCCCTCTCTCTCTCTCTCTCTCTCGCTCTCTCTCTCTCTCTCTCTCTCCCTCCCTCTCCCTCCCTCTCTCTCCCTCTCTCTCTCCCTCTTCCTCTCTCTCTCTCTCTCTCTCTCTCTCTCTCTCTCTCTCTCTCTCTCTCTCTCTCTCTCTCTCTCTCTCTCCCTACTTTTAAAATTCTTGAAATTCTTTTAACAATGCTTACTTGAACATTCGTGTTGTTAAAACACAGGATGCTAATAATAACAACACTCACCGTTTGCCTCTTTCCTTTTTGTAGGATCCGCCATATTTCTGGCGTTTACCAAGAATTTCAGCAATCTCAGGGATGAAGCTGGCAAACAGACCCTGAAGAAGACAGAATAATGAATTTTGTTCAATAATTAATAATAACTGTGGCTCACTCACAAAGCACACAATATTTTTTACTTGGGGGGGCAAAAAGCCAGTCCTTTCACATTAAGCATCTACATGGGGTAGAGTTTTTAAAAAAACAAGATTTCTTCTTTGACAAGCAAACACTCTCACTTCAAAGTAACTTTTCTGTCTTTGCTTGGCAACAAACAAACAGCAACAGAAAAATGTTGCTACAAAAGCATACATCCCATTGGAGACAAAGTGGGTGATTTCAGAAAGTAGAGCACTTGGACACCACCAGGAAATTGAATAGAGAGAAGAAAAAAAAGGGAACAGAACATTCACACACTTTTTTGGTCTGTCCAACTCTGCTTTTACTTTCTTGATTTAAAAAAAATACACACATTTACCATTTCATTATTTTATTAGCATACCCACAAAGAAGTATCACTTATCAAATGTTTACATTAATCAAGGGTGGTTCATCAAGCACAGATCTGGAAGGTTTATAAACAAAATAAAGGATCAACGAATGCAGTAAAAAGGAACTTCTGCGAGGAAAAAAAAACCTCAGTACCTTCTCATATAGGAGAATTGCAAGTATAACCATTGTCTATCATTTTAACTGTTTCATCCTACAAGTTTGATATCTTTCTCTTAAAAATGCTGATTATATGAAAATCATCAAATCAATTGATAGGTAAAGATTATTCGTACTTGTGATTTGCCCCTTTCTAGATGAATACCTAATGACTAAAACCTGGGTAATCATCCTCAAACCATTCTAAGATCCTCCTACATGCTACAAAAAAACAACAACATTTGATTGCAGACTCACTACTTATTGTACCATAACCCCTGATTGGCTTCTGATCATTGAAAGAAAGACGATAGAATGGTTTGTATAGAGTCTACATTGAGCTTAAAGGCAATAGCTAAAAATATGCATGATTGATTTCTAAATGGAACATGCAATATCCATAAAGAGAACGACCTGGCTTGCTTTTAGTTTAAACAGTCTGGACAACAACATTCTCTGTCCCCTGAGGGAGCTAAATGCAAAACAATTAATGATCCGGACACAGCATCTCAGCACCCTATTGTGCAATCATACATAGAGAATCTCTTTGTTGCTTTTTCACATCTAAAAAACTCTCTATCCTGTTTGAGTGAATTAAAAAAGAAAAGTTTTGTCCAAAGGCCTTCAACTTGATTCCCACATGAATGCACAAAGCAAACTGGGGAATATTTGTTGTGCTAGCAACCAGCCTAGTTACCAAGAGGTTGTTTTCAAAGTGCCTTATTCAAACTACAATAAACCTTTGTTTTCAGCAGGATGGTGCATTGAAAGTGTATACCTGCTTTTTCTTCCGCATTCAGTAAGAACAGATATATCCATGGGACACTCTATCTTGTAGACTATGGACAACTGAACTAACACAACTAGAGACTACAGCAGTTTTCTAGGGGAAGTATTCTTCCACAAACTAAGACAGTGAAACATGCAATGCCGAAACTGCAGATTACAGGCAGAAACCATTGGGGGAGGGTGCATGATAAAGAGGCAGGAACAAAGACAAGGAACCTTTTGTAAATAGCTTATTTTGGCTAATGGTGGCTTCATCTTTTGGTATTTTCAAACAACCTTCTTGTCCAAAGTAGCTTAACATGCACAACCCGTGGCCAATACAGGTAAGAACAGAATATGCAAATATACAGAACAAATCTTCAGCAGCTTCACATAAAACTAGGAATGAGAGTTAATTTCAAATTTTCATCTGTTTTTATCTTTACTCAATACCCAAAGACTATAATCTGTCACTCATGACATCGTCATAATTCAGAGTGATAAACAGTTTTTTCCTAACCGCTCTTTCTTGCCCTCCCTTTTTCTGTGTCCACCCCGCCTCAGTCCGAGAAGTGCTATGTTTTTTACCTCAATATCGAACATTTAATGATCAAATGCATAATTCAGCAACACTGATGGCCTTTTAATTGCCACTAAAGAAGTGACAACACGTTCAAGTCAATAAGCAGACGAGAATTCCAGTCTCCAGATGATATATCCCTCTCAAACCAAGTTGTTCCTGACAGGCACGATCAAATCCTGTCACCCAAATGATCTAAACTGAGTTGATGGGGCTAAAAAAGACCTATATTTGAATTTAAATTTATTTTAGTTTCCAGTTCGACAAGATAGGGTCCCTTAAAAAGTCACAACACAAATCCAATTTGGAAAGGGATCCAACATCTCAACTCCTATACTACAGTCTTGAGTCTCAATAACCGAGCCAGGAAGGCATGACCATTTGTCTTGAAGCACAGATGATGTTGAACTTATTGCTGTTTATTATTCAGCAGCCTTGAACTCAAAGCCTCCCTGCCATTTGAAAAAAATTAAACCTCTAAAGCCTTTTACTGCTCAATAATCTCACCAAAAAGCACATACTGTCTCCAGCAAGGCAGTGAAGAGGTAAATAAATACACTTGTACTCGTATTTTCCTTTTACTGTACACCAGTTTAGAAAGCAGCGTACTTACGATGAATATCATGATGAAGATGACCACAAAGGTTCTCCCAAGGACAGTGGTGGCAAAGATGTCGCCAAAGCCCACTGTGGACATGGTGACCATTAAAAAGTACAGACATTCCCAGTAGGTGAGGTGCTGGGCGTTGCCGAAGTCGAAGAATGGATCTCCAGAATTCTCCAACTGAAATTAAAAAGAGAAAGAAAACAATAAGTACATAATGTCTGAGTCCTGTAAAATAAGCAAATATTTTTGGTTAGGATCAAAGTTTGGCAATGACACCAAAGTTTTTTCCTTGGGGGGGGGGGGGTGATTTACGGCGCTTGCAACTGCATAAGGTCATATGAGTGCGCGGGACACACCAAACATTTTCAGTTGGTTGAAAATTTTGAATTTTGCCCGGGTGGCGGCCAAAGCTTACTCTTATTGATTTTAGACCACCAAGGGACCTTTAACATGTGCAACTTGCACACGGGACCTCAAAAGATTTTTCGTCCTTGTCCGAGAAGGCAAGAGGTAGATCTTTCCTACCAGAAGATCAGGGGTGTGGCTGAAAGACAGCAGTAAGAAGGTGCCAAGGAAAAGCAGTAGAAAGGCTGCAGAAAGAGTCAGGAGCCCAGAGGAGGGGGCAAAGGAGGTGAGAGGGTGGGGGCAGAAAGAGGAGAAGAAAGCAGACAACAGAACAATTCTAGAGAGGAGGAAAGGAGGAGAAAGGAGACAATTTTAGAGATGACAATTTTTCCGTAGCTACCAGGATTCGAACCCGAGACCTTTGAATGGGAGGCGAACATCTTAACCTCTAGGCCACGAGAGACCCCCACACTAGAGTCCTCGAAGGGGGAGTAGCAAAATAACAAAAAAGCTTCTCTCGCTTCTTATCACACACACAATAGCTCCTTCTATCAATGTCTGGTGGTGACTAGTATGCTTCTGTAGAGGAGAATAGTTTTCAAGAGAGAAACAGAAGAAATAATGCTTAAAATGACTTCTGCCCCCCCCCCCCCTCCCCCTGTTTTGGTAAGTTTTATGGCGCTTGCAACTGTATACGGTCATATGAGCGTGCGGGGCACATTAAACATTTTCAGTGGGAAGGAAATTTTGAATTTTGCCTGGGTGGCGGACGAAGCCTACTCTTATCGATTTTGGACCACCAAGGGATCTTTAACGTGCCAACGTGCACAGGGAACCTCCAAGATTTTTCTCCCTTGTCTGAGAAGGCTAGGTGTAGATCTTTCCAACCAAAAGATCAGGGATGCTGCTGAAAGACAGCAATAAGAAGGAGCCAAGGAGTAGCAATAGAGGGGCTGCAGAAAGTTTTAGTTTTAGTAGAGGTTTTACGGTGACCGCAACTGCAGAAGGTCATATGAGCGCCAGAAGATTAGAGAATAACAAATATAAAACAGAAGAAGGGGAGATAAGGACGATAGATGTTTGATAGGAAAAAAGAAGCAAATCACACCAGAGCACCCGCCAACCACCCACTGGCTGCAGAAAGAGTCAGGAGCCCAGAGGATGGGGCAAAGGAGGTGAGGGGGTGGTGGCAGAAAGTGGAGACGAAAGCAGACGACAGAACATTGCTAGAGAGCAGGAAAGGAGGTGACAGGAGACAATTCTTAAGAGAGAAAAAAAATTCCACTGCTATCCGGATTCGAACCCGAGACCTATTGAATTAGAGGCGAACATCTTAACCTCTAGGCCACGAGAGCCCTCCTTCTGGCCTCTGCTATGGCTAAATGAGATCAATTCTTGAAGAGAAGAGTGCTAAATTTTGATTATTTAAAAGTTTCCTTTCCACTTGTCAATGTACGCAGCTTGTGCACTTTTCTCTTGGCATCAGTATCTTGCTGCCATTGCACTCATTCATTACCCAAGTACTTTGATGGGGATTTCCAACAAAACAAGGGAAAGGTTTGATAAGAGCAGATACTTGACTTACGCCACGTTTGTTTATAGTAAGAGAACCCAGAGCAAACATCAGACTCACTTTCTCACCTAGACACAAAATATCTAAAGGTAAGATAAAGGCAAGACGATCAGATTAGTATCTTGGTGCAGAAGGTTGCCAGAATGCCATCCATGTTGAAGGTCAGACTGACTAAAAGTACCACCAGATCTTTGCAGCCTTAACTAACTAGGGTTTGAGGGTCTGCACCAAGAACATTAACTCGGTGGTTGCTCCACGCTGTAGCATCCAGGCTAGGAGTATGACGGTCGAGTGCCACCCGTCTTGTTGCTTACCAATGGCTTGCAGCTATCAACTTCGAAGCTGCGGCCGAAAAAGAATGCTTAGAGCTTTATCTGTTGCACATGACATAAATAATATTGTACACGCTACCGAGGACAATAGCGAGAGCCATTAAAGTGGTTCACTGAAATCCTCTAGGATATGATCCTGGGCACAGTGAGCCTCAGACGTCCTGGCTACTAATACCAGCGAAGTATGCGCCTTCACTGATGTGATGCTAGAACACCAGGCCAAGCAATCGGAAACATAAAATACTGTCCATCTCACACAGTACAGTTTTGATGACTCAAAGATCGAAACCCATAACTTTAATTGAAATAAAAGCATTAGATATTTCATACTATGATCAATAACGTCGCAGCATACATTTTGAATCAACACGCGTCTCAATTCTGGCCCAATTTGTGTGGCGTAATCAATACATGTAAGACCAGGAGAAGGAGGAGCCAAACAGTCAGCTTCTAGACATGACTGTGGTTTTGAAGCAGTTGGG